ATATATATATATATCAATTAAATGATTACAAGTAAAAATCTAACATATTAGTTTAAATAATATTTAAGATTATTAATATTCATCTAAAAATGTTTAAAGATCTAAAACATGTTTAAACTTTATATTAAATATTAATTTGCTCAATTGACTTGTCTTTCAGTTTGTGAGATTGTCAATAGCCACCAAAGTCCCAAATAATAATTCAGCATACCAAAACAATTTTAAAAGTTAGACCAATCCTTAACAGACCCAAAACATTAAGTTCTTTCATAACCCAATTCCTTTAAAATTTTCCTATAAAACAAAAACGAAACTTTTCATCGTATCAAAATCCAACCGAAATTTCCAACCAATTATAACATCAAATCCATCCATTTAAGCATCCAAATCAGATACATTCTACAAACAATCACAATAAATTTATTTAAATATCGGACAATATATATACAAACCAAATTTCTTTACCTTACCTTATGGATGACCAAATCGCTCCAGAAAACTTAATATAGCTTCAAATGTACAGAAAGTCTTTATATGCTCCTATAAATCACAAAATTACGATCATGGTACACAGTTAGAATAACGAGTTAAAAAATACTTACATTAACTCAAAAGTTACAAACAAATTTAATGAAACCCACATGTAACAAATATAAAAACAAAAAAAAAAAATTGAAAACTCAACACACTCAAACGGAGAAATTGATCGATCTAGATTGAAGTGGTCGTTGATCAATCATACTATTTCGATTCTTCAATTAGATGAACAGAGAGAGAGAAAGAACACTATAGAAGTCAAAAAATTATAAAAAATTAAATAAATAATGTTTTAAAATAATGAAACTTGTTCTTAATGAAACTATTTATATTAAAACTTTTAACATTAAAATAATTAAGTTTTACTATTTTTCCATCATCATCACTCTTAAAATATTATTTTTTAGGGTTTTACTTATTTAATGTGGTGAAAAAAAACAATTATAACACTATTATTTTACAAAAATATAAGGTTTTCACGTCATAAAATAAAAACAAATTTATTTTTTAAACAATTAAAAATGTCAAAAATTAAAAAAATAAACAGAAGAAAAAACATTTTAATATAATATTTAAAAATATACTTCAACTGTAAATTTAATAACTTGAAAAGTTTTCAAAAATCTAAATATATGCTGACGGATAATTTTATTTTAGTGCATTCCTATTCACCGAATTTAACTGTAGTTTGTAAAAATTTATAAGAACAAATAGCTACTTAAATTTAAATTAAATATATTTACAATTAATAAAAGTGATAAGAAATATATAATGAATTTCATTTAGTATGGAATTTTTATATCATACGCAATTATATATCACATTTAAGTTTTGACCATATATTTAAATAGACTCAAAATACGGTTTTAGTTTTGAAATCAATTTCTTATAAAATAATTTTTAAAAATTGATTTTAAAGTATGATATCTTCTTTACTGAGTTATATTTTAAATTAATAAATAATAAAATTGGTAAAATAATTATTTTAAATTTAACAAAAAATATTGAAAGATTAAATTTAAAAACAAATGTGAAAATCAGAAATCTATATATAGATATAAATTCAATAAGAACATAAAGATTGTAGCTAAAACACTTTAATTTTTAATTAGGTTTGTATTCTGTTTTAATTCATAAAAAAAGTGAATAAATATTACTTGAAAAATTTAATTTTAGTTAGATTAACTTTAAATTGAATAGTGTTTCGACTTAGAAGACACATAATTATATTAAGTTTTAATTAATTCAGTTTAAATTTTATTTGAATTTAATTCATTCAACCAAAAAGTTGAACACATGATGTAACATATGATTTAGAAAAAATGATATCCCATATGATTTTACGATTTTGTTAAACATATATATATGATTTTACAATTTTGTTCTATTATCCTAACAATTTTATTATATCATGATCAAAAGTAAAATCTGAATTAAAAAACTATACAAAATTTTAACTATAATATTATTCTTAGTTTATTTTTTAACAAATTTTAAAATGAAAAAAAAAATCTAAAGTTAAATGAGAATTCCATTTTCAACAAAATCATGCCAATAATCTCAATAACCAACCTAACACTTCTATATTAATATTTACAGACACATGTATAGACATAGAGAGGTAGCATAAGAAGTGATACAACAAATTAATAAGTACAACTTCCAAAGCTGTGCAAACCAAAATCTATTGCTTTTTCTGAGGTTTGCTAACAAGGGTAGCGCAGAGGAACACTTGAGAAGAGAGTGAAAAATTTAATATACAAAACATTTATTAAACAATTTTTAATTCATTATAACTTTACTACAACTTCTAATAAACATAAATCAAAATAACTTTAGAGTACCTCTTTTCATTTAAAAAAAGAAAAAATATTAAATAAACTCAACCATTATTTGTATGAGTTCGGGAAGATGAACTAGAAAAGAAATTAAAATATCAATTTTAAAAACAAAAATAAATGAACTTCAAAATCTGAAAGATAAAAGTGTATTTAAATCAAAATTTCATTCATGCAAGGATTTATTATTATTTAAAAAAAATAGTTTGACAAGTAAACGTGGTCATTACTTTTTAAATATTCTGGACCATATTACAACAGATGGTTGGTACATACAGAGTTCTATTTTTCTTAGCAGACGTTAAAATGCAGCTAACACACAAAATAAATAAAATAGCACAGTGACATATCATAAGATGTAGCAGTATCTGGACCTCATTTATTTATTTTCTTCATGTAGAAATTAAAATGTTACGAACTAAATACGGTTGTATTTTTTATTTATTTCTTTATATAGGGAGAACATACGTAATTATTATGCAATGCAATAAATAGAGTATAGAAGTATATCTCTCTTCAATAAATTTTTTGAATGTTAGAAATTAAGAATTTGTCTGAAACAATGCCAGAAAGGATGAACCAACCACGTTCTCCATTGCTTGCTTCTGGTCAAAGTTTAACTCAAAAGCACTGACACTGAGTAGTGAGTTTTGTAAGCAAAAGGAACATCCTTTTCGCTTTAATTTCAACTCTGCCACTCCGCTCCTCACGCTCCCATCATCAAAACTCAACCTTTGTTACACTTCACACAATTCAAGTTCAAGATCTCATCTCGACCAACAAAAAAGATTCTTACTCCAACGCTGTTCTTGATATCATTATTATTATTATTATTATTACTTGTTTCTCTTATTATTGTAGTGTTACAAACAAACTCCTTTTTTCACTCCCAATCAGTAATCAGGATCCTCCAGTGTTCAATCATTGAAAATAACCAACTTCCTCTCTACACCTTTTACTTCGTTCTGTGTGAGTTGAAAATCCGTGCTTACTTTTTTTCTTTTTGGGTTTATGGTTTACGTTACATGAATCATGGAAAATGTTTCTTCTAAATTACAATTTCATTATAACGCGTGTTTCACCTGCTCCATTGCGTGTCTCGAGGTGAAGGGGTTCAATTTCAACCTATAGTGGGTGTCTAGAAGCTTCGTTTCGTTGATCGTTGTTTCTCATGAGTCAGTTAGATTGACTTTTATCTGATAGGAGTCGGAAAAAAAAGGAAAAGAACAGATCTTTGAGTAGTACTAGGTTGCAGTGATAGCTTCTATAACTTTCATAATCGTGTCTTACATAAGGTCTTTTATTTTAGGGGCTGTGTTTCATTTCATGTTCTTGGGTAGTGATAATGCCTGTTCCCAACGGCGAAGAGCGAGTTCTGTTTGCTTCGGAAAATGCAAGTGAGGTTTCAAAGTCACCCTCGTTGGATTTGAACCCAGATTCAGATTCAGTTGATGGGTCCCCACCTGTTTCCACCGTTTACACTGATGTGGGTGTCGTGCCAGAACACCAAAAGAACGAGCTTGAGCACTTTATATCCAATTTAGAAAGTATGAATAATTGAAGACACACCCGTGTCTCTGTTTCATTGTATTGTGGCTTACGGATTTAAATCTGTGAAATAAATGTTGCTGATTCATTTTTCTGGGTCGGGCTGAATTGCTTGTGTAGGAGAAATAGAGGAGTTGAGGGTCAACCAGAAGAAATTGGATAAAAAGCGTAGAGAAGCACTGAGCAAGATATTGGACATCAAAGGTACTAATATACTAATTATATATTGACTGAATAAGGTTATGTTAATTGTTTACAAAGTGTTGAAGAATTGTGTTTTGCTATCCAGGGAGCATTCGAGTATTTTGTAGAATTCGACCAAATCTGGTAACGGAGAAGAGAAGAATTGCTGAACCGGTATCAGCTGGACCAGAAAAAATTCGGGTTAAGTGGGGAGGAACAAAGAAAGATTTTGAGTTTGATAAAGTTTTTACTCAAGAAACAAGCCAAGGCTAGTATTAAGTGTCGGTATGCTTGCGAATTTTGATTATCTTATTGTAGTTCCAAGTTGTACTAAAGAGGGGGTATTGTGCGCTTGTTTGAACTCTGCAGAAAGTGTTTTTGTTGAGGTTGAGCCAATTCTGAGATCTGCAATGGACGGGCACAATGTATGTGTGTTTGCTTACGGTCAAACAGGCACAGGCAAGACATTCACCATGGTTAGTCAATTCAACGTTGTGTTGCTATGATTTGTGTGCTTGTGCTAAACACTTGTGTTACCTAGTATATGGGGCAGCATTGACATGCAATAGTTGTTTTTAGGATGGTACAAACGAGCAACCTGGGATTATTCCGCGTGCTCTTGAAGAGCTCTTTCATCAAGCCTCTTTGGATAGCTCATCTCCTTTCACCTTTTCGATGAGCATGTTAGAAGTTTATATGGGCAATCTCAGGGATTTGCTAGCTCCAAAACCGTCTGGTAGACCACATGAACAACCTATGACGAAGTGGTAACATACTCTTGTTCCTTTTTCAATGATTGAATTCCATGGAATAGTATATATGAAACTCTGGCTAAATGACCCTTTTGTATAGCAATCTCAATATCCAAACCGATCCAAAGGGGTTGATTGAAATTGAGGGTCTCTCTGAAGTTCAAATAAGTGATTATGCTAAAGCGAAATGGTGGTACAACAAGGGTAGAAGGTTCAGATCCACCTCGTGGACTAATGTGAATGAAGCATCAAGCAGGTCACACTGGTGGGTCATAGGTCTAGTTAGATACTTCAAAGTATTTTAATGGTTTTCTCAGCTTGATGGTTACTTTATCTGTTTAGCTTCATATATCTAGCTTAACGAGGATAAGCATATTTCGACGTGGGGATGCTTTGGAAGCTAAAAGTGAAGTAAGCAAACTGTGGATGGTTGATCTTGGTGGCAGCGAACGGTTGCTTAAAACTGGAGCCAAAGGACTGACACTGGATGAGGGCAGAGCCATTAATCTTTCTCTTTCAGCTTTAGCTGATGTTGTTGCAGCTTTGAAAAGGAAGAGGGGCCATGTGCCTTACAGGTAAATACAATGCAGATTTTGATTCTGTCATTGCCAATTATGTTCCAGCTGCTAGATCCTTTGTGTGCCTTAAAAAGCAATTTAGCTACAGAGATGAGTCCTTTTTTACTGCGGCTAGTTTTTTATACTATCCTTGTTTCTTTCTCGACAGTCAAAGTACAAGTGGTTAGTGATTCATGCTACTTTACTTGCAGGAATAGCAAGCTGACTCAATTACTCAAAGATTCTCTTGGTATGATACTATTTCTCGATTTCTAAACTAAATTGTACACCACCAACTTTTGTGCACCTTGTACAAAATTATAAATTCGTATGCTGTCTTAGTATGTGCTGTTTTATATCTAAAATATAAAAGGTCTGACCTCTGTAACCGCATACTCAAGGGTATGGCTCAAAGGTTTTGATGCTCGTGCATATAAGCCCATCTGAAGAAGATGTCTGTGAGACAATTTGCTCCTTGAACTTTGCAAAGAGAGCGAGAGCAATAGAGTCCAACAAAGAAGTGTCCGTGGTAACTTTCTTAATTTTTTCTTAAGCAACTTCCTCAGTAGACACTGTTTGAAGATTGCTGACTGCATGCATACGCTGTAGGAAGTGAAGAAGCAAAGGGAGAAGAAGATTATGGAGCTAGAGGAAGACATCAAGGAAGCTGAAAAACAACGGCAGAATTTAAGGGAACAAACAGAGAAGATTGAGTTGAAGTTAAATGATAGTAAAAAGCTCATATCAATGACAGATAGTCCTGTGGAAAGTGATGACATGAAAGCCTCAATTAGTCCCCAAGATGATGTGAAAGAGGTGATTGAAACTCCCAAAGCATCTAAGAAGCCCATCAAAAGAAACTTCTCCAACTCAATGCCTCGATTCATGACTTCAACAGTGGCAAGTCGCCAAAGGCAAAGTGCTGCAGAGCGAGACATTGGCACTGTGAAATTGAAAAGCCATAGATCAACAATGGTGTCGAGAAGTTCCATCCATTTTTCGTATTCCCAATCGTTGAGTTATTCAGATATCCGCATCAAAGCATTGCTGCGAAGTTCAAATGGAAAATCTCGGCATGCTGAAGCAGATAGTGTTCCAATTCCGGAGCCTGTTCTCACAGAAAGGCCTAAATGCAATGATTTGGAATCAAAAGTCACAACCCCTCGAAGCAGGATGGTTACATCTTCAGACCAAAGCTTGAGATTTTCGCTGGGTCGTCACAGAAGAAGGATGTCTGATCTGATCTGATCTGATCTCAAGGTTGCAGCTTTTTTGAAGGGATTGCATGTTTAACATTTTGCAATTTATATTTGTGTATAACAAATAGTAGCGAGTGGTATACTAATAGGTGTGTTTGGTTGGTGTTTTCTGGGTTGGGATCTGTTAATTACTTCATTAACATGATCTTTCTCTGTTTTCAAGCTTGTTGTGTAACTATTTGTTAAGACTAACTCACTGAAGTTTGACATTATGACCTTTTAAATGTAGATATAGGAAGAAAGTAAGCAGAGTGTTGAAGAAAATTGTCCATGAAGAATTGGAGGAACTGCTCCCTTTTAATGTTTTTTCTTTTACATCCATTGTTACTAACTGCATCCATACTAAAAAAGAGAAGAACAAAATCTTACTCCACTTCTATTGTTGCCGCTGATATCATTGCAGCACAGCAATGGCACATATTTGGGAATTTTTTAGGGTTTCTTTTTAAGATATGAGAAATATAAAAGTTATATATTGAATGAAAAAAATGTATTCTTTTATTTTATTAATTTTTTTAAATATAAAGTAAAATGTAACAGAATATAAATATTTATAATATCTTAGTATTAATTTTTTTAATTTAAATAATAACTAAATTTTAAAACTGAAAAATATTTTTAACAGTTGAATATTAAACACACACACATATATATATATATATATATATATATATATATATAT